TTTAGATAATGTCTACACTCATAATTAGCTACTAGAGCATAAAATTTTGTTTTAAGAGTTTAACACAAGCAACTAGTTCTAGCTGTAATTATTTATTTATTGACTCAAGTATTTGGTATTTAATATTAATGAACAAGTTATATATATGTTAGGTGATACAGAATGCAATTGCAATGGAAAATGAGGTGGCGCTTCCGTACGACAATGGAGCTCTATATAGACCACATATCCTTGACACGAAGCATGGATGATTCATATATGAATCAAATTACGATATGTCTTCTTTAGTGTTTCATATCAAGTTTTGATACGTAGCCTTATAAGCCAACATATATAATTGGTTTGTGGAGGAATCTTCTACCGTTTAGACTTAAATATTATCTGCCACTAACCAAAACATGAAAGGAAAAAAGAGGTGGACAAATATGTATGTGTGAATACGTAAAAGGATGGGAAAAGGTAAGAACGTTGAACATTGGATCACTGTCGACATTAAATATTTAATTTTATTTATTTGAGAAAAATAATCCATTGTACTGATCATGAATCTAGTCCGATCCATTTCTCCTTTTGCTTTTGTAAGTTACATATTATTATTATTAATTGATGTTGAAATAAAATAATAAAGTTAAAATGGCAATGATATGACAAAGTGGGAGCTTCTAAGCCATGCTTGTTTTGCCTAGAGGCAAGTGTTTATACTCATGACTTCGATGGGAGCTATAAGCAGGCTTGTATCATTCTAGTTTTCTCAGCAGCTGCAGAGACTTTGGATTTTCTAAATTCATTTATAACTTTATTTCGACTATGATCAATGAAGTCTCAAGCATGGTAAATTAAATGGGGAGAGTTATATTTACAAACTCTTACAAACTACACTATGTACTCCCGGAAGTATGCTAGGTTACACTATATACTTTCGGGAGTACATAATGTAATTTGCAAAAATTTGTAAACAGATCTTTCCCCAAATTGAATTGATATTGTTATATCGAATGCTTACCACTAGGTCAAAAGCTTTAATGGTTGCATTTTTTATTATTTATCTTTACTATCTAAGATGTTATGGTTGAACCTAATTCAGACTCCCAATAGGCCTTGCAAATGTAGAATGTTAGTCTCACCAACTGATAAGCCACGAGCCATGTCCTAGAAGCAAATTGTTGCTTGCTATTTTTGCAATTATATACGATATGGATCAAAACCGTAACCTGAACTCATTCTAAACTGGTTTACACATTTAGAATTATCAAGAATTATGTGTTTTTAGGTTTCTTTTAGCAAAAATTAATTTGGGCAAGAAATAAATGAATTCTTCATGAAATTTCATTGGAATCAAAATTAACTTCGAAATTCAATGCGTTAACAAATATGTAATCATTAAGAAATGATCCAACACATAGAAGTTAATTAAACCAACCCGTTCTAGCTAGATTCCTGATGGAGCTGCTCCATATAATTTACAAAAAGATCAATCTAATCTGGACCATTGCCCTATCATGTAATAAGAAAGTAAAGTATTAATGCTATCATTGGATGCTAAGTTTTTCCTCCAGTTTCAATATATAGCTATCGAGGGATCCATTGAAGATGCATGTGATCCCAATAAAACAAATGGATATCCACGTATAGTTTATATAGTATGCAGCCAACATAATATACAATTAATGCATATACATATATGATATGTCCTACAACAGGAAAAGCTTTTATACAATCAATTAATTTTCACTAAAATATAAACTGGAAAGTTGTTAAGTAAATATATTATTCTCTTCATGTGTAGTGTGTACTATTGGCTTGAATCAAATTGTTAGCTTCCTTCTTTCATACAAGCAAATCTTCGGTTTTATTAAGCCGTTTTGATGAATAAAAAACCCAGAAGTTGTTTTCACTTTCCTCTCTTTCTTAGACTCGGACCAATGAGTCAACTCGAACATGAAACTCTCGAGTCTAACTAGATCTTGCTAAACTGCTTAATAATTTAGTACCGACTCATTAAAAGATTATTATTAATTAGTCTAAGCGAAAAGTATAGCAAGAGCTGCAATCATTTCAGAGCATAGTTTACCCCACTAGATTTTCATAAGGTTGCATATGTACATAATATATACGAATAGAAAGCATATCTAAGATTTATAAAAAAAAGAGCAAGTTGCGTTAACTTATTACAATTGATTGAGCTAATATTTCTCGTCTTGGATACAGCTGCAAACCACATCTGGTTACACCAGATAAAAATTACCTATAGTTAACAGAGTTTGACTATGATATGATATTATTTTCTAAAATGTCATACACTAGTGATAATAGATTAAAGTTAAATACTTTCATTAAAACCAAAAAAAATGTTACTTTTTTTTTTTTTTTTTTTGTAAATTACACTAGTAGTAATGTTTTATTTTTCCCTTTCTTCTTTTATTGTCATTCAGAAATAGAAATACCAACTTTTATTTTATGATTCTAGAGATCTCTTGCCTCTCCATTTGATTTTATTCCAAACATAGCCCGGGTGGTTAAAATTAGAACAGAATGGGGAGGGAACAAGATGAAGGTTGGGCTTTGTAAAGTACACGAACCATTGGTATAGCACATTTTGGTATCATTACAGTCCAAAACCCAACAACTTCTTTGCTGGGCTTCTGACTTGGGTTCATGTTTTCTCAACGCCTTTCGATTTGAATAAACAAATAGCTTCCTCTCCCCTCAAACGGTAATTTTTATTTTTATTTTGGTTTATCGTCTCTCAGTTCACTTCACTTGAAATAACCTTATTTTCAGTCATCCCAAAATTAAGTTATTTTGGATATTAAGAGAATTAATCAAGGATATTTTAATAAAATTTATATAATAAATAAACAAACAAAAATATCAAAACACCCTTCATTACTTTTCATAACATCCCAAAATATCATTCATTAATTCTCCTAACATCCAAATTGACATAGTTTTGGGGTGGCCAGATATAAGATTATCTCAAGTGACTTGAGAAATATTTTTCTCTTTTTTGATTTTTGAAAAAATCATTTTTTAAAAGTTTTCTTCTTTTAAAAAAATATTTGAAAAAAATTCACTAATGTCTCTGTGGTTTACTTTAAGATCACCTATGTCCTTATACTTTTTTTTTACAAACCATAAAGATATATCTGATAAAATAAAGGTTCGCTTTTTCTATAATTAATGTAGATAACTTATCTACAGTGAGCCTCAAAATGACGTTGTTTTGAGACAAAAATCAATGTATTTTTGTAATTATAATTTATTTCAGGATTATAATAGTCTTTTTTATTATAATTTTTTAATTTTTCAATCCAAAACGACATCGTTTTGGGAGCAAATGTAGATAACTTATCTACATTCACTTTAGAAATATTAAAGCCTAAAAAAAAAATCCACAACAAAGTTGACTTTTCCCAAAATATTTTTGTCTATGAAATAAGCTGATATATATACGCACTAACAATGTTGGCATTGAATTTTTCAAGCCCGGAACAAAAATAAAAAAAGTAATAATGTTAGCCTTCAGCAAAGTCAGTCATTGACCAAACAAAAGATTTATAGGTTTATACGTCAGCATTAGCTTAAAGTAAGATATATGACTTAAAAAAGACTAACTTAATAATTATATAAATAAATAAATTTCACCTGAAAGCATTCTATTCATCGAAATTAATCAATTTGCTTATTTGCATTAAAAGGAGAGATTTATTAAATCATAGGTATTCACGCAAAAGTTAAATGACTCGGGAAGTTATTGGATGTAGGATAGGCCCTAAGATGATGGACCCTATTCATATAGTGGGATCCATTGTATTTTAAACTATTCGTGAGTTGTGATTACTTGGGATATGTTAATGTTATGTTCGGGCTTAATAATAACCTTCATTAAAGATTGGTCCATTCGTCAAAATTTACTTCATCTTTTTTTTTTTTTTTTGGGTTAAGAATGTTATACATAACCAAAATGATAAACTCATAATTAGAAGGGGAGGGATCATTTGACTCTAGAGTAAGATTTAAAAGTCTTACTCTTCATCCCAGCCCTTGATTTCCGTTCATCCAACGGTTATCATTTAGTAATTTAATGCATTAATTAATTATTAATTTCAAATAAATTTTTAGGACCAAAATTTTTCTCCTGCCACACATAAGATTAAATTATCTTCAAGCTCCAGCAACTCCAAAACTATGTTATTTTGGGATTGAAAAAGTAAATGAAATATATTTTAAAATTTTTGTTTGTTTCTTTATTGGGTTCGTTTTTTCTGCAGCAGATAACTTATATGCAGTAAGCTCAATATGACGTCGTTTTGGGATAGAAATCATGATGTTTTTGTAATTTTAATTTATTTCATGATTATTACAATCTTTATAATATAATTTTTTAATCTTTCAATTCAAAACAACATCGTTTTGAGAATAAATGCAGATAACTTATCTGCAGTAACTGCAGAAATATTTTTCTCTTCTTTATTATATGAATTTTATCAAAATACTTTTTATTAATTTCCTTAACTCTTAAAATGACATAATTTTAAATTTGCCAGAGATAATTTTATTTTCCGAAAAACGATAAACTCATAATTATATAATAATCTGTAAGGACAAGAGTAGGACCTGGATAATGCTGATTTATACAAATAATATCGTCTTAGTATATTGAGGGGTGTTAAATGTAAAGAAAGATAAACGCACAAGTATAGCTTAGCATATATGTATTATCGACTTAAAATAACTTCAGATATGTGAAAATACTTAGCAAAATTCAACTGTGAAATAGAAAACGAATGTAAATTACTTTATACAGCTCCAATCCTGGTTGAAAGGGAGTAACCAGGGAGCGCCAATGTACAATATATGCTTTCACTGGCCAGCAAAGAGAGAAAATATCCTTCGGAATTTGGTGATACTGTTTACACGTTGACACTTAATTCGAGAATTTTAAAGATTTGCGCAATACTTCATTACAGCAGACAGTGTAGTCACACAAAAAAAAGGGCTTTTTCTTTGGTGTTTCATTTTTATACACAACAACTAACCAAGAATTCAAAAAATTAACTACTTCCATCACTCATTCTATATATGGCTTACACTATAGAATATATAATTATCACAAAATGCCATACTTTCATCTTAAGCTCCTAAAACAAGTAACTTAATAAGCATTTTCTATGTACAAGCTCCAATGCCAATCCGCTAGGCCTGAAGTCAAAATCACTGGTGAGCGACCAACTCTGACATTTTTCTGTTTTCTAATGTCTTACATTCATTGAAGCTCCTGACCATGATGATGGCTTATATCCCCCAGCCAGTAGGCTAGAAGCTTCGCTTGCAGAAATTCTTCTTCTTTTAGACTCTAGCTCCAGCCTTCTATTATCAGACATGCAAGATACAGATAATCCTGGGAAGATGGACGCAGCTTTGCTGCAGTGACAGCATCTTGCTCTGAAGCCGGAAGCAGTCGAATGCCAAGGCCCCTTTTCCTGGAAGCAGTCTCTTCTTCAGCAACTCTTTTCTTTTGACTCTAAGAACATTTAAAAGAAAATCTTTTTTAAAGCACCGCAAAAATATCATATTATAAAAGAAGAGAATAATTATTAAAGGGAAAAAAATGGAAAAATAAACCAGAACAAGTTTCATGAGCTAAGTAGCATACTCTAAGTTGGGACCACTGATGATCACATACTCACAGTTCTTTGGATCCGTCTGGATGATGATCTCATGTTTACAGCATGCAGACTTCATGGTAAAGCTCCATATCTGAAAGAACCCAGATAAATTTGTTAACTATTAGTAAACAAACGAAGATAGGTTGTACATCATTATTTAGATTAATCCCAAGATAATGTAGTGCATAAACACTTGAAACTGATCAGGTATAAGACACGCAGATACACCACTGTCAGAGTAAAATTGTTTATACTATCAGTAAAGAAGATACCACATCATTAGAATAGCTTAAATATTTCACTTTGCAGTAAGATTTTTCAAAAAGTTTTGAAGGGTGTAGACCATAAGGTTTTTTGATAGTGTAAAACTTTGCACTTTCATTGGATCAAGATTAATTCCTATATATATAACGAGAAAGAGTTTGTATGTGTGAGCAGGTGCTTCAATGCCTGCCCTTATCTCCGACAAATAAATAACAAAACAATGCGATGATCTTTGCCACTATGGCCATTACAAACACTAGTTGCTTTAAGAGTCTACTTCAACATACCTTTGTGGAGTAGTAATTCCCAACTTGCTTTTTCTCTGCATTGAAGCGGACACCCTTTGCAATCATAGAATTGCATCCTCCACACCACACATTAAAAGGCATCTCAAACCTGAAAGCAGGGTCATTAGATAATATGGAATTACAATTTGAAATAAGAATCAACATTGCATCCAAAGCTATCCAATTTAATCCACATTGGGGTAAAAAGTTGAAGACTAATTTTTCAAGTGTGCAACTGTACATATACACAAGCTAATTTAAACCATTCACTTAAATAAAAAAAATAAAAAAATAGACATCTGTAAGACCACATCACAGCATATATATCATATTGATTATGATCCTTTTCAATCATAAGGGATCATTAGAATCTAGTCATAAATCATAACATGTATCAACATACTTGTCTTTTAGATATTAAACACCTTAACTAGTTTATGGCTATTCAAGGTACTAAACAGACATCAATAACTTCAAATGGTCATCATCCACATTGTGTCATTTTTCCATATTATAGCAGTCCTAGAATAAAGAATTACTGTTGGGGACCCATCTTTCAAGAAAGATTATGACAAATGAATTAATGGCAATACTGTAGCTGCTGTTAAAACAGACGCATGAACCGAAAAATAGAGAATTCAGGGCAAAGAAGCATGCGGATTATACCAGAAAACCCTAATCCTAATCAACATCATGCAACAAAACAAAAATAAATAAATAAAAAAGATTCGCACCATTTTAATTTATCGTTCTTCGAAATTTGATAGCTTTATTATCACAGAGTTCGTGAATCGTGAAGTTGTTCGACGAAGATCTCTATCTGGTTTGATCGGGAATGAGAAAAGGAAATCGTGGTTAAGGGATTTAGCTGGATCTTCGTTTCGGGTCGGGGCAATTGATTATCGGGCTCAATTCGGGTCTTAAGTCCCATAACCATAAGGCATGATGCGATAGACTTTCTCGTGATGCGGCTGGGGCCCACTGTTCATGCCAAACTTCCTTTTCTTTTGAATAATAAGAGAAAATTATATATCCATTTAGGGATCATAGGATATGCCTATTTTTTTCATATCTTCTTAACCTAATTTTTTCTAATATTGTTAGATTATAATATTAATTGACTTTTGCCTTTTCTCTTTTTTCTTATTCTTATTTGAGATTGTGATATAATGGTGTTGAAAAAAAATAAATATGAAAAAAATAAACATAATATTTTATCCCATCCCTTTATATATTATTACATAAAACACAATAGTATGACCTTTTCAAAAAAAATTCTAAATTGAATAAATTTATCATTTTTTGAACTAAATATTATATGAGATTTAGATTAATCTTAACGTTTCCAAATCTAGCTTTGTTCATAATTAAATTCTTGTTTCTGCATTTTTAAATGTGGTTGAAATTATGAAATATTAATTTACTTATATCTATCTTCTTATACCCAAATTATTTATCTTTTTATTATCCTTTTTTCTTCAAAATTTCATCCTTGAAACATCTTTCTCTTGATGTCTTACCCCCTCCTCCTCTTCTTTCTAATTTTTCTTTTTGAAATTTTCTCTTCCTTTTGTTTTATGACGTTTATCTCACCTTTATTCATCCCTTCAATCTTATGACATGTCATTTTTATATTTCAAGATATTTTTGATACATGCTTAGTTTAGATATGAGTCTCTTTTATAGCAACATGCATGCATCTATAATGTGGTAAAATTCATATTCAGACAGAGAAGAGAAAGATGTTGATTTTATTCACAGACTTCTTCCATTTTATAATTTCCTTTGTATTTTCTCATCCTCATATTTTTTTTATTTCAAATACACATAACTTAAATGGTAGTTCTATTGAGTTTTTAATTGCATGGATAAGGAGGGTAGAAGTCTAGCAAACGTTCCTTTGTATCACCATTTATTGATAATGGATTATTTGCCACTTAATATTTGGGTTCAAATCTCAGTTGTAACTCTCTGAAATTTACAAAGAAACTTCCTTGTGTGAATTTAAGTCTAGCTTAGGTGAACCAATTCTCCTATAAATACGCCAAACCAATATGGAAGTAAATCTTCAAGATTACTCAAAAAAGCACTCAAGTTTCATTTGAAAGAAAAAATAGCCTCAATATAAACCTAGTAACCTACACTACAACTAAAAAAGAATAATCCCTAGATAGGAAGAGAGTTTAAGTTTGATTCCTATCAAATACATCTTTGCGAAAGGATAATGAGCTTTAACTGTGACTAAGTCCGACTTGATATTAGTTTCACATATAGCTGCCTCAAAAGAGTTAAAGTTTATGGAGATACCAAAAGTCAACTCACCTCAAAGAAATAATTAAAGTGGATATATCAAAAAAAAATTTTTACCTCATCACCATGGCTATCATTATCTAATTCTGAACATAAGCACGGTATGGAGAATGACACAATATTTCACACCAGAAGTAGTGGCATAAACTAAATAATTAAAAACACTACCAAAATTAAATTCTTCTTCTCTCCCTTTCTTTTAGCTAGTATGATTAGAGGTTTATCATGCCTTTTCAACTTGTACAAATTCATCGGATAAATTTATTTTCAACATAAAAGTACACTTTTTGGGTGATTAAGTATATTTTAAGTTGTTTGTAAACTTATTAATTTAACTTTCCATACCAAGCAAATTTTTGTTTTAGTTTGATTAACAATAGCTACTAGGCTTGTGTATCATATGTAAAAGGTTTGTTTCCTTCAGAAAAGAGAGATTCGTAAAATGGGTTCATTTTGAGTGCCTAATTCCTGCTCAATAAAATGGTATCATAACAATAAAAATGAAGAGAGAAGGGTAGAATTTTTTTAACAAAAACAAGAACAAAAGGAAAGGAAAAGGGAGAAATAATTATATTCCCTCTCAAATTCACTTTTTCATATGCTTTCATCTATTACTTTGTCCTTCACTTTTGTACAACAGTTAAAATTGCACTATCGTCCCTTAGCTTTGCGAAATAGTTCTTATTAGATTGCTTTGCCGATAGAAAATATGGATTGCACATTCCCCACCCTTTTATTAAGTTGCAATTCACTCAAAACCAGCATGGATCTTTCCTTGCACCCAATCATGTCTTTTATTTTATTTTTTCCTTTTTTTCTAGACTTGAGTGAAAGAAAGAGAGAGAGAGAGAGAAAGTGATCTTGCACATTTTCCCAATGCATAGGATATTCAACAGAATAATAATAAGCATAATCATACATAATTCCAGGTTTGACAATTGACATTATGATCCTAAAACTTTTTTTTCTTTATTTCTAAGGAACTTTCATTGGGGAAAGGGTCTACCTCTCTCTCATATTCCTCACTCTCCTCATTGAAAATATACCATAAAAAAGGTACTCTATAAACTCTCAGGTTTCATACCAAAAGGCCAATATTCACACACATTTGAACCCTCTCTTACACCCTGACCCTGATCCACCAAATCCTACCTGTAAAATCTCCATCTCCTAAATTCCTTTCCATCTTAAGAGTTTCCTCCATATGTTCCTAATCCATGCTTCCCTTTCTCACCCTTTTCCTTCTCTTCCATCATGGCCTTAAAAATTTCTCAAGTAGTTCACATTCTTCTGTGGCTGTCCCTGCTATTATTACTCTTTCATCAGTATTACAATCTCAAGCTCAAGATCAACAAGAAACAGATCATACAAGCTAGTCACTCATTACCCTTTCATCACCCTTTGATCAGCAGAAAAATTCTAGCAAGAAAATTTGACTTCTCTCCTTTCTTTAAGCATCATCATTATCATTATAATCACCCACCGGGTGTTGCAGTGCGTCAAGACCCTTCATATAAAGAGATTGATCCACGTTATGGCGTTGAGAAGCGCCGTGTGCCAAGTGGTCCAAACCCATTACACCATTAAGACAAAAGGAATGGTTAGTAGTAGAAGATAATGATAACCTGAATATTTTCATTTATTTTCTTAAACTTTTTTTTTTCTTCCTTTTACCTTTCATGGCCTGCTTATTGATATTGAAGCTAGGAGTCAGAATTGACCATCTTATTGTGTATAATATAATATTTCCAGCTTGAGATTGTACATTTATACTAAGTTCATTTGTTTCCGAGTTACAGATAAAGAATATTATACATTTTCAGATTTTCAGGGCATTTGATTTTTGGTGATTACCATGATTTGCTTATTTCGTTAAAGTAAAGAATCATATATTATATGATTCTCATGAGTAGCTGACACGGCACGAAACACATAGGAAAGATTTTAGTTGGAGCATAATATATAATATATATATATGTATGTATGTATATATGATGAGTTTGGTTAGCATAAAAGCATAATTTTTCTTTGAAAATTAACAAATACACTTTTCTATAGTGATCATAATTCATAACCCTGGTGGACTGGTGGTTGTAAAATGGGAAAGAAGATTTCATCTCTCGAATCCAAATCAATAGTTTATTTACCCAAAATTTATTCCTCCAAATCCTACTAATTTATTTACCCAAAGTTTGGGTTTCATTTTTCTCATGATACAAGAGAGAATTATCTCTTGTAAAAAAAAAAACTCATATTACATATAGCTTATAAAAAAAAAAAAAAATTCTTTCTTCGCCATGTCAGCCGACAATGTCTGAGGAGAGAAATTTTTTTTTAATATTAAAATTATATATTACCCGTAATACATAGTTATTTTTTTTTTTTACAATTTTTTTTCCCAGCAATATAAAAGAATGATTACCTATAAAATTTACTTTCATCCCATTCTCGCTAGTTAGAGTTAAGGAAGAGTATTTTTTTAGTCTTTTTCAATGCATAAAACCCTTTATTAATTAATAAATTTATCGTAAAATTAAAACCGTACATGAAATACTAAAAAATGTTCATTCTTTTTTCTTTCTTCTTTTTGGTTTTTGTGTTCGTAATAATTTGTTTCCTTTGATATTTATATTGCTCCATGAAGTACATATAAATAGCAGAGTGAATAGATATTTATGGAAAGTTAATAATTTGTGTTTTCGTAAAATATAAACGACAGCCAAATAACATTTTATGAACTTGTGGGATTTCATTAATTCTGTTATTGGTAAGTATGAATCACATACATGTCAAGACTATTACAATATTATTATATTAAAAAAGGGTTTGTTACTGAGAAAGTACTATCCACCCTCCCCTCAAAAAAAAAAAAAAATGGGGGTACAACTAGGAGATAATAATATCAAGATTTGCGACCATAAGCATTTTAACAGGAATTTGGAGATTGCGTCTTATTTGGTTTCTAGGTTCAAGTCATGCTACTTATTTATATTGCTTCCTGACATATTAATTCTAAAAGGTTCAGATTCAGATACGATATGATACAATATATTGATACATTAATTCTAAAATTTTGATATATTAAGATATGTTTTGATATTAAATAATATTTTTCATATATATAATAGAGTTTACATTTAATACATATAGCAGCTCATAATAGGTGATTTAACTAATCAAAAATTGAAATTTCATAATATAAATATAAAGCAAAAATAATTTTTCGTACCTTCTTAATTTTTCATACATAAAATATTTGATTTATAAATTAATTTTTCATGTTTAATTTAAAAAGTTAAAATAAAATAAAATTTTGATCTTAAAAGAAAATATATTGAAAAATATTGATCACGTGTTGAAATATGCCAGAACGTTGATTGCATGTTGAAAAATATTAATAGCGTGTTAGACGCCTATTGGCATCTGACGCGCATTTTTTACCCAAAAAAAAAATTCATAATAACTTGGAGTTAGAGGTGATATTTCACTTTTAAAAAGGGAATACATAAATGTATTTCACGATATTCCAAAAATTAAATGAGTATCAGCAAGTGCCAAAATGTTCTGTGTGATTCTGATAATGAAGAAATTCATAGAGCCAATAAAGCATCTAATTTTAATTTACTATTAAAGTGTTTATATTATTGATAAATTAAAAATGTATGAGTATTTATTTTATCTATGTTAATCTTACAATTTTATTTACTAATAATATTATAATTATATTAACTCATATGAGGGAATTAATATATTACATATATACAGTACAGGTATAATTAGGATTAGATTTAGCAGGACAGAAGAAGATATCTGATGTTGATGTGCATAATTCAATGATATGATCAGGGACAGGAAAAGGCAGTTATACTTGATACTAAAAAAAGCAGTAAAACAAATGTTACTCCTCATCAGTTGAGTGTACACAGGGATGTAAGTAGGTTAGATTTTGATTTAAATAGGTATAAATTTATATATAATATTTTGAATATGATCTGATTTAATAATTTAGTGCAAATTAAATTATAAACTTTGTTTAATTTATTTTAAAAATAAAAATTTAGGCCCAAGCCTATTAACTTATTAGGCTTTTAATACCTATGAAGAATTAAAAAAGTAAATAAATAAATATTATTTTATAATTAAAATTATTTAAATAATTATTTTATTTTATTTTAATGAAAATAAATAATACGATTAATCATTGTGTAATATTAATTGTGAGATCATACTCACTGTTTAGTATCAATCGAAAAATAATAACAAATGATATAATAATTTGGACTATATATTTATAGAGAAATGTGAGTGTCATATTACATGACACATCTTGTGTCATGCCATAGATACAAAATGTGAGACTCATATTTTTATCGAGTTTTTTTTTTTTTTTTCAGAGAGACCCACACTTTTTTGTGTCTATAACATAACACAAGATGTATCATATAATATGACACTCACATTTTTATTTTTATTTTTAAATACTATAGGAAAAGAAAGGCAAGAAAAACTATTTGCAAAGCCGACACTCAAATTTTCCATATTTATATTAAGGGGACGATTATATTTACTATTGTTTTAGTCTTACTACCTGATTGGTTATTGTTGGATCAATTTGAAATCAACGGTTGGAAATGAGAAAAATTAATTGACGTTGATTTCAAATTAATTCAACGACAATCAATCAAGTAGTAAGAGTAGTAAGACTAAAATGGTAATAATATAACATTCCCCTTATATTAATGCATCTACTATCTAGAAATGGCTAGCCATATCAAATAAATAATAATGGTAGCTTAGTTGGCACATGAAAGCTGAGTAGATGAGGGTGAGAGCATGAGTTTGATCCTTTCCAATATCATCTTTATAAGGGATTTAAAATTTTAATTTTCGACGCGCCACAAATAAAATTGCCTAAAAAAAAAATACATGTGGTTTATAATAAAAAAAAAATAAAAGAAATGGCCAGCCACTAGCTAGTTCTAAAAGGTTTTAAGGAAAAGAAAACTAGTGGTGTCTTTTCTAAAGTCTTTTAAATTTTTACAAATAAAAAGGGTTTGCCGACTACGGCCCAATTCGCGTATAGATTAATTAATGGGTTGATTTGCTTATTTATGAATTTTGTCTTTGTCAATATTACATTTTAAATTATCAGCTTGCAATTTTTCATGTTACATAAGAAATTTAAATTTTTTTACAGAAAAAAAGGGATGAGATTCACTTTAAAGAAAAAAATAAAAAATAAAAAAGTCTTTAAAAAAATAAAAAATAAAAAATAAAAAAATGATTAACACAGACATCAAAATGAAAATGATAGGAGAGAAGATTTCTCGTACAAAAAGTATAGACATTAACACTTGCATTGGATCCATGCCATTGTTAACCAAATAGATGTTGCATTTGATGGAGACAAAGTGGTTGATTGCAATTTTTACATGATAACTATACGGACAGAGAAAGAGACTGATCAGGAATCTGCAAAATGAAAGGCCACCTAATAAAAAAGCTTACTTAAACTTAAAAGTCCCACCATGTGCCCCAATCGTGCGGGATTCTCTATTACGAAATCAAACCTCTATATGTAAATTTCACAAACAGATTGAACATTCATTGTAAAATATGTTTTATATATACATATATGATATGTTATTATGTCATTAATTTTTTTAACTATAATATCAATCATTTTGAAAATTAACTTCTGCTTATTATTGTAGTAAAAAAGATAGGGAAAAGTTCAAAAACACTTATGTGGTATTGCTTTGAATCACTTACACTTCTATGCTTTTTTTAATCACTTAATTTTTTGTAATTTTTTTCATCAACACTCCTCCTTAATACTGTTAAAAAATTAACTCGATATACCTATTCTACCTTTCATAGAAGAAGAAAATAAAGTGATAAAAAAGAAAAGAAAAATAAGACCAAGTGTTATGAAAAATTAGAATTACAACACTTAATAAAAGACTAAAAGACAAAATAGAAAAAATGTATAGAAAAAGAAAAGGAAAAAAATGGAAAAGAATCACAGTTATGAATTTCTAATATATTTACTTTTATTTTTTTTCTATTTTTTTTTGTCTTTGGTCTATTTATTCTTTTTATTTAGATATATTTGTTCTTTTTTATATCTCTATTTTATTCTCTTTAATTTTTTTATGAAAATCTTTAATAGATGGGGTGACACAAGACTAAAAAAAATTGAGAAGAAAATCAGAATAAAATAGACTAAAAAATAAAAAAATTAGAAAAAAGACCAAACATATCTAAATAAAAAAATAAAATAGACCTATTCCCAAAAATAAAAAATAAAATAGACCAAGAACAAAAAAGCAAAAAGAAAAAAATATATTAAAAACTCATATCTGTGATTTCTTTTTATTTTATTTATTTTTTATTTTCTTTTTTATCTTCTATTTTTTTGTTTTCGTTATATATTTTTTTCATTTGGACTATTTTCTTTTTTTTAATTTTAGTCTTTTTTGTCACTGTTGTGATTTTCAATAAATTTGGTATTAATTTTTCTTCTATTTTTTTTTTTTTTATAAATCACAGGTATCCTCCACAAGAGTTAATCCTATTCAGGGCGG